AGAGCATATGCAGTCGACTTAGGTGTGTTTGATGGGTACCTGATGGGAGAAGTTCAGGAACTTCAAACCCTTGGCCTCTATTCTGCTTAGTATGGGCCTTTTTCCTCACATCCCATCATAGCATAGGGGGTGGATTGAAATGGTCTTGGCTGATTTGAGCATGGAGGCCAGATTGCATCCTGGAAATTTCACATGCACCTTTGGGGTTGTCACATAGATCCTCGTGAGTGCTGAAGCCCTTGGCAGCTGACACATAAACACTATCGTGATAAAAAGAGAGTCACATAAGGGGGAGGGGGTGGCAGAGGGATCTAGGATAGCAGTAAGTGCCAGACACATGAAGGACTAGAACCACTGGTCCAGTCTCACTGCTAACTGGCTATGGTAAGTGTGGTCTTGGAACTCAATTCCCTATTTATAAAATGGGGACAAGACTGGTGTTTAGGTGCTGCTATTCTTGTGGCCTCTGAGCTGACTCAGGGATGACTTTCCTAGTGTTGCCTTGGAGGTTCAGAGAACAGGAACTTTACAAAGCTAGGTTAGTGAATGAAGTTGAAAGGCCAATCCAGGGCTCCAGGGAGTGCTGCATGTTGACCCCCAAACTGCATCTGAGGGAGGAAATTTGGAGCTATGAAGGAATAAAGCTTGTGCTAAGCTGTAGGAATTTTAGGAGCTGAGCCATAAAATTTAGAATGGAGGTATAACCTAGTTTTAGGAAACAGTGAAAACCATATGTCCCTAAGGATAATCTTCCAGGTAAAAACATTTTTACAGGAATGATTTGTAGTGACCTCAAGTCTCAGAGGCAATCAAAAGCAGCACCAGGTTTTCTATTAGGCTATATAGTCCAAGATCTACGAACATTAATTTTAGGGACAGTGACAAATAACTGCTGTCAGGGCTTTTCCTAGGATATCTGCACAGACTACAGAGGCCTCACCTACAAGTTCAAAGGACAATATTCTGATGAAGTGACTTGATTGATGGGAGTTGTGTCCACTCCCTTCCCCAGGCTGCAGCCCTGGGATTTGCACATGGTATTCTAGTCCATCTGACTCTCAGAGGGTCAACTGTGACCTGGGTAGTCCTGGAATCTCCCTCCCCACTTCAAAGCTGCTTCCATCTTCATGGGATTTACATTCTGAATGTTCTCATTGGCATAGCTCAGGACTTGAAGGATGAGCATATCCTTCCCACTTCTGAAAGATAGTCAAGGGAGCAGGCATCTCAGTCTTTATAAAGAATAGCTCCAGTACATTCATGATTTTCTCATGAAAATAATCTTTAGAAGATGGAGTGACAATGACCAAAAAACAGTCATAACCTGATACAACTACATACCTGATACAACTACATAATAATTGAAAAAAAATCCTTAGATGGGTCATTTTTCCTCCTCTCTACTGGAGTTTCCACAAAATTATCCCAAACCTTCCCCTTTCTCTTTTCTTCTCACCTTGTCTCATTTGTCAGGGAATTCTTCAGCTGGGAGCATGGAGTCTGCCATTGTGACAGTAATGGCTTATTACCCACTTTTATTATTTCTCAGGTCATCCTAAAGTCCTAAAGCACTCAGTCCCCATTCTGTCTATCCCATATCCAATCAGACAATATAGCTTGAAGACATTTTTCCCAAATGCAGATTCATATATATATATTCTGAGTGACTGAGCTATCAGCATTCAAGTTTTGACCAGCTTCAAGATGCAACTACTAGATAACAAGACCATATACAGACATTGAATCTATGTTACAGAAGGAAGACTTTGTTAGTTGGATTACAAGTGTCAGGTACTTTAGGTTATACCAAAGGCATCCAGAAGGCTCTGAAAACCTTAAGAGCCTTCCTCTTTTCAGGTTATGAGGCTAGAAGGAAGGCCTCCACGAAGCTGCACTCCTTATCAGGGCCCTAGCACTGATTTTTTCTTTCTTAACTCCCCTAGTGAGGTGATAAGAAACTTATTATAACGCCAGGTGTGGGAGGTGTCTGTTGTCACCTTCCACACAATGCACAACCCCATTTATTAACTTCCTTCACCTCAAAGTACTCCCAAGAGGTAAATGCAATAGGTCTTTCCCCTGCCTGAAGAATGGAAAAATGGAGGCACGGTGCTCATGTCATCACTTGTCTAAGGAGACAGCCATGCTCTGGCTCTGTATCCCATGTTCTTTCCAGCAGGTGTGGGCAGCTGTAGCAAGTGTAGCCAGGCTACCATGCTCAGGCTAAGAGCTGTGGGGGAATCCTGGAGCAGGGCTGGGAGCCAGCTGTGACCCAGCACTCTCTCCTTCCACTCAGGGCTTGTTCCTAGCAGTGATGTCAATGATGACAGAACCCACTACCAGCTGGAAAAAGGGCCTCCTTTGGCAAAGCAATTTGGAACCACTCTAGCTGCTCTTCCTCAGGATAGGGCCCTTTGAGTTCAAGGGGAAAGATGAGGAAATGGAAAAGTGTAAATACAGCTGCTGGGGGATCAACACTTGCTTCAGATCTGGCTAATTCCAGCAAGCAAACTAAAACGCTCCAACTTCTAATGCCACCCTGAGTGGTAATAAGGTACATGTCTTATAGAAAGGTGAAGGATTATTTCTTAAATGCACAAGACACGTTACCTGGTTACAGTTCAGTAGCATGCACCCTATGCTGCATCACATTTAAACTACAACTGTATAGTGTGACATTTCTATCACACCACATCAAACATTTTTTCAGTTGTACAACTGTTATTTGTGAAATCTGGTTTTAACTAGAGTATTTTAAGAGCCAGTTTCTATTGAAATGTGCTGTGGGAAAATGTAAGTTTGACTTGATACACATTTTTTGTATTTACAGCAGAATAAGTAAAAAGAATTGTGTACCCTATGGGTGGTGCTGGCTTCCAAGAAGTAACTTTGGGAAAATGGATGTTTAATTTCAGTGAAACTGACCTTACTCAGAGTATTTTGAGAGCTTTCTTTGGAAGCTATCAACCAGTAAGTTTCCTTACAGTTGGTTGGTAAATCTTTGTCCTCTAAGTGAAGATCTATTTTTTGAGGAATCTTTTTAACAGCCAAAGAGCATTATAAAATAAATCTGATAAGCCAGATGGGGTGGGTCACTCCTGTAATCTCGGCAGTTGTAGGAGGCGGAGGCAGAAGGAACGTGAGTTCAAGACTTGTCTCAGAGGTAAGAAAAGGGGCTGGGAAGGTGGCTCAGTGGTAGAGTGCTTGCCTTGCATGCATGAGGCCCTGGGTTTGATTCCTCAGCACCACATAAGCAAAAAGAAAAAAGCCAAAAGTGGTGCTGTGGTTCAAGTGGTAGAGCGTTAGCCTTGAGCTGAGGAGCTGAGGGACAGCGCCCAGGCCCAGAGTTCAGGCCCCACGACCAGACCAAAAAAAAAAAAAGCAAGTAGTGGACACTGGTGGTTCATATCTGCAATTCTAATCAGGAGGCTGAGATCTGAGGATCATAGTTCAAAGCTAGCCTAGATAGAAAAATCTGAGAAGCTCTAGCTCCATGAGTATGGACTGGAAGCCTGGCTAAAAGTAGTTAAGTGTCAGCTATAGAGCGAAAAAGTTGAGCAAGAGCACAAGCCTGAGTTCAAGCTCCAATACCAGCACAAAAACAAATAGACAAAACAAAACCAAAAATCCAACTATAAGATTTTGAGGCCTCTTTCTTTCAGGGATTCAGTGAAAACCCTACAGAGGGATTCTAAATGTTCTTGGCAGATGCACATCATAGCTCAAGAGTATGGTCTCCCCAGGAAATAACTCCAATGATGGTAACCTTGAATATATATGTTCTAGTATATTTGGTCCTTGGTTGTTTTCAGTTATAGTTCATATAAACAGAGATAGGAAATTCTGTCTCCATGATTTCTCCCAAGGAAAGGATCTCATCTATTGCTTTAAAGAGTTGAAATTAGAATCACTTGGTGTCATTTCTATTTTAGCCCCACAGAAAAAATGTGTAATGATAATTCCTGATAACTCAGGCTCCCCAGTTTGAAAAAAATGGTCAAGGACAGGTTTCTGAAGCCTGGAGTCGAAAGGCTAGGGTATGGAATGTGTTTCCAATAGCTATACCTAACTCAACAGGCCAATACTAACCCATTCAGAAAACCTCCTGCAGCTAATACAGAGTGGGGAAGAATGATTATCTTCCAGTATGTTTTTGTGGTAAAAACCACTGGCTCTGGGTGACAAATGAACAGAGTCCATTGAAGAGAGGTCCAGAGCGCTAGATTCTAGTACACTTAGCCACTAGCTCACTGAAGTGCATTTCTAGCTGAGGTCAAAGGCAGCAAAGGTGCAAGAAGCTGCTAGAGCTTGCACTAGTTAAAGCAGGTGTATAAATTCCCAGCAGCAAAGCAATTGTAATCAGGACATAGGCCAATGAGTGAGGTGACGGAATGCTCAATCTCATTCAATGCTGAGGAGGAAGCGCTCTAGAATGCTCTATCCTGAGTGTCAGTGAAATACAGTAGAGATGGTGAAAGAAGAACAGAGACTGATTCTCTAAGAGCGCATGATGTGTGTGGTCATTCTTGGAGCATCCCACATATACAGAGTGAAGAACACATCACTGCAGTCATGGTCCACCTTGTCTGCACATGCCTCCATCTTGTGATACCTTCTGAGTTCAGGATTTCCAGGAGTCACTCCAAGTTTGTGCTCGCTACTGCTACAGTCAACAGCAGCCTACCCCACAGAGTGGGGTGCCATTATACCCAAGTATTCACAGCAGACACTGGTCTCAAATCGATCAGCTGGGATGTTGTTCTTGGTGAGTATTTTTCTATTAGTCTTTGTAAAAACCACAAAGCTAGGCCATTTGCTTAAATCATCATTAGAAAAAAAATGCTGAGTGCCCAGATGGGATTTCTCGTTTCTGTGCAAATGAAATCACATGAGTCCACATTTTACTCACTGGAATCTACTAGGGAAGCAGTAGGATTTGGTTTAAATGCTGCCAAAAAGCAGGAATTCACTTAAGTTTTTAATTCTGAAGCATTCTCTTGTTAATGTTGTAGCCAGGCTCGGGCAGCATGGGGGGGCGGAACCCCCATTGTGTTTGTGGAGGAATCCCGGACCTCTCCCAGTTCAGGCTCACTCTCACTGGAGGTAGACCCATTGTTGATGGTGTAGACGCTGCCTGCAACTCCCTGAGCTGAAGCACAGTCATCTGGCTCATTCTTCTCCCTGGGACTCGACAGGCCTGGGAGGACAGCCATCTTCCCAGTCTGCCTATTTGGCAGTAAGGACATAGTATAGTCAGCAATGATTCCACCCACGTCTAAGTTGCATGCCTGGTCAAAAGCTAGAAAGCCAACATTGGCATTTGCCTCACACACCACGAAGGACCCATCTTCCATAATGAGAAGATCAATGCCACAGAAGTCCATGCCCAGGATATTGGATACCTGAATAGCCAACTGCTTGCCTTGTTCTGTCAGTGGGCACTTGACACCCACACCACCTGAGGGAGAAAGCACAGTGATTTAAAGGTGATACTCATAGATGATACTCATAGATGTATTCAGTGACCCAAAGATGATACAGGGAACTGAGTCCTGGTGGCTCACGCCTGTAATCCTAGCTACTTAGGAAGCTGAGACCTTAAAGGGATCATGGTTCAAAGCCAGCCTTGACAGGAAAGTCTGTAAGACCCTTATTTCCATTAACCATTAACAAGGTAGACATGGCTAGGTGCTGGTAGCTCATATCTGTAATCCTAGCTACTCAGAAGACTGAGATCTGAGGGTCACAGTTTAAATCCAGCTAGGTAGGAAAGTCTGTGAAACTCTTATCTTTAATTAATTATGAAAAAGCCAGAAGCAGAACTGTGGCTTGAGCAGTAAAGTGCTAGCTGTGAGAGGAAAAAATGGTTTAGGGACAGTGCCCAGGCCCTGAGATCAAGTCCCAGGACCAGCCTCCCCACTCCCCAACCTAGATGTGGAGCTGTGTCTCAAGCAGTAGAGTAACTACCTTGAGCGAAAAAGCAAAGGGACAGGACCCAGTGCCTGAGTTGAAGCCACAGTACCAACACACACACACACACACACACAGAGTTCTAGATGGAAATGAAAAACAAATGAAAAGCTTGATTTCACTTTCTTTCCAGTCTTAAAAATGCTAATATCCGGAAGTGGCACTGTAGCTCAAGTGATAGAATGCTAGCCTTGAGCTGAAGAGCACAGGGACAGCACTCAGGCCCAGAGTTCAAGCCCCATGACCAAAAAAAAAAAAAAAAAAAAAGCTAATATCCTCTGACCCAGCCATCCTACTACTAAGGAAATAGTTTTATGTATGGAAAAAAAAAAACTCATGCAAAAAGAAGTTAATGTCAGCATTTTTTTAAATACAGGAAACTCATGGTCCCTGGTACATAGAAGGCATTCAATAAATACTTGAATAAGGAAATGCATAATTATAATTTAAGTATCTTACAATAGAAGAAAATAGCACATTTAACAACCATGGCTACTACTGCTCATAGGCAGTTATAGTCCCATAGGAAAGCACTTTGAAGCATTAAAATGGTACAGTGTGATAAGAATAATGCAAAAGGATGTTTGTTAAAGACTGGGGAAAATGATGTCAAAATGTTAATGGTGGTTGTAATAAATAACTTTTTTTTACTTCTGCTGAATGTTCTAAACTTTCTAATTCATTTTAGGATTAGAAAAAAAAACATTGATTTTTTTTTTTAGAAAAAACTCAGAGCCTTACAGTCTCCCTTGGCTTTTTCAAAGGGTGGTACTCTGCCACTTGAGCCATACCTCCACTTGGCTTTTTGCTTGTTAATTAAAGATAAAAGTCTCTCAGCTTTGTCTGCCTGGTCTGATTTTGAACTTCAATCCTCACAGTTAAGCCTCCTAAATAGTTAGGATTACAGGCATGAGCCAATAGTGCCTGGCTGAACATCGATTTTTTTAAACAGAAATATAGAGGATTATGAGACAAAATTCTGTACTCAAGACAAAAGATCTGATTGTCCTCACCTGTTAAAAAGCTTGATTTCACTTTCTTTCATCTCTCTGGAAGACTTAACACTTGTATTCTTAGGTCTAGCAACTTTACCTACACATTGTCTTGTCCTGGCTATGATACTGTATAAGGAAAGGGCTATAAAACAGTTTACAAACATCTTATCAGGAAAAGCAATAGGGATACATTATAAAACCATCTGGCTAAGAACCAGTATTCATGACTGTAATGCAAATGAACTGAGATTGAATGCTAATGTAGAGAGTACTGAATCTAGCACTGACTCTCCCACCATGCGGTCACATCATCTTACATATTTACAGAATCATGTATAACCCAATGGCAAAGACTCATCTCTATACGGCAAGTCAACTGAGGAGCTTCTGTGAGACCCAAACACTAATGAAGCAGAACAGAATCAGTGTCTACGTCTCTTTCATAGTCACTGGACTTAGTATTTGCATATGGTGAGTTAAGAAATATTAACTAGGTAGTTTTCCCTTCAAGTTAACAAGGTACAAATTCAGTCAGTGAGGCTGACAATACCTCTTTATGAAGGGGCAAAGAATTTACATCCCTAGAGGGATGTGCGGAAGTAAGCTTTATCAATAACTTCAAGGGATGACATTATGCATTCAAACCTAATACAAACTGCAGCCTTTCTAATAGCATCACACATTTAAGAAAAACACACAATTTTCGATTAGAATACAAAGGCAAGTTTGATGTTCTTCCTGCTATGGCCTTGGTTTTTAGACTTCTTAGAATTCTGTCCGAGCTGTTAGACAGCTTCCAACCCCACCTTCCTGCCTCTTTTTTGCTTGTTTGTTTTTTGGGGGGATTTTTTTTTTTGCTTTTGATCCATCCTTTACAGATGGAATTTGTTTTCAAATGCTAGTCTCAGCACACCCTTGTTTGACTCCCACTGCTAAGCCCTAAAACCTACAGGATAGGGTTCAAACCTCAGTGTCTTGCCTCTGCTCTGACCTCTGTCACAACACAGTTCCCCTCTCCTGGATTGCTGGCACACATAGGAAATGCTCATTTCTCATTCTTCTCTCTGAGATCCTGGTGCCTAGCAGAGAGTCTGGCAGGATCAGAAGTCCAACAGCCTAGTGAAATGTCCTGGTGGCCTTCCTTGGGAAACAGTTCCACTCCACTACCCTTGTATCTTACCGAGAGAGCAGTTGCTCTGCATCCGTCCGTCTGTGGAGCAGCGCAGCATGGAGCCTATCACTTGGCCCCCTACCACCACCACCCGGATGTCCTTCCCATGGGATTCCTTCACATACTTCTGGAACAGGTAGGGCACATCATGGCGGACCAGATGGCAGATGTCTGAGAGGTGATGTTTATCTCTTGCTAGAAAAACAGCTTTTCCTTTAAGAAGAAAGATGAAGAGCAAGAGAAAGGGTTAGAGACGCCTGGGGCTTCCATCCTTGTCACCCTGACTCCCCATGCCAAACAGGAGCCAGCTTCTTTTCGCCTTGCTTTGGCCCCCTTTATTTCTCTGATGAGACCCTTGCTTCTTATAAAATAATCATTGAACCTTATTCCCGCTGGATTTTCATCATTTTAATACTATTGATCAGCCAACTTTCCTTTCTTCCTTCCTTCCTTGTCTTTGAACTCATTCCTTGTAAGCACTGGGATTACAGGTATGTCCCATTCCCTACTTTTTTTTTCTTTCAAAAATGAAATAATAATATATTCCAGAAATATACAGAACTGGCCAAAACAAAATCCTGGGGATCTAACCAGTTTAGTTCTAAAAGTAGTTAATTAGCACCTCCTATCATCCTTAGGACACTAATTAGGCAGAGTTTATGTCTAGCTCAATTTTTTTTAATCCCCCAAACCTTACACTGGGCTTAATACACAGGGAAGATGCTCATCAGTGTTTGTAGAATGTAATTAATTGAACATGGTTTAGAGTAATTCTAAGTATGAGTAGAGAGAGAGCCAAAAAAGATAGCTATACAACCACATGATAGGCCTTAAAAAGTCTAAGCAATATTTTGTAGGAGCTCAAAGGAGGGAGCTAATGACACATGTTCTTCCTTTTAAGAAGGAGAAATTTAGTATTTAGCTATACTCATCTAATTATACACCCATATTTTTGTTGCTTGATTTTAATTTTTATTGGAAGGATGCTCTGACTGGTGCTTGAACCCACAGCCTGAATGTTTTCTTTATTTTTCACTCAAGGCTGGTGTTCTCCCATTTGAGCCACACCTCCATTTTCTGCTTTTGGGTGGCTAAGTAGAGAAAAGAGTCTCATGGATTTCCTTGCACAGGATGCCTTTGAACCTCAATCTTCAGATCTCAACCTAAATCCTCAGATCTCAGCCTCTTGAGTAGTAGTTAGGATTACAGGCATGAGCCACCAGTACCTAGGAACAATTTTATTTTCTGTTCTAATCACCTATATTTTGAGTTATTCAGAATCTTTTTCCCATTTGCATATTAGATGACAGAACTGAGGAAGGGTTCCTAGTAGGTTTGCTCACAAATATGACATGGACATGTCCAGACTGGGCACTCTTTTCAGCAAAAATGGAACAATGAGATGTTTTCTCAAGTTGCCTGTTACCATTACAGAGGGGGTGGAAGGAAGCCCTCTCTGTAGTTTTAATGAAACAGCAATGGGCATCAGTCTCTAGTGGCACAGAAGACTGAAAAGTAATTTTCCAACATGTCATAACTAGTGTGCAATCATTTCTGAAGTGACTGGACCCCAGACACTCAACAGAATTGGAGAAGTAGGGACAAAAGAGGAGGTCCAAGTGGTGGGTTATGGGAGGGTGTGTGTGCAGTCAAGTGGGCAGTCGGTGTCTATTGGAGAGGGTCCCACAGGGCACAGGGCAAACAGGAAAGGCTCAGTAAATGGGCACAGTGCAACATCTGACTTGTTCCAAGTCTCAACCATGAGTGGAGATGTAAGCAGTTAGGCATTTGGCACCAGATCTGGAATCTAATAGCAGATGGCTGGATCTCAGAGGCACTGGGCTTCTCTGAACAACAATAGGAGTTTCAGCAGAGATAGGCTAGGGATTGGCTCCTAGTACAGAAGTCCTGATGGAGCATAGTCAGCAGTAAAAAAAATGCATTTAAGCCAAGGAGATTTAAAAAAAAAAGAAAGGAGAGGCCCTGAGATTAGCTGGTAATAATTTATGCAACAGCCACACTGTTTCCTTCTTTCCTTTCTCCCTCCCTCCTTTCTTCCTTCCTTCCTACCTTCCTTCCTTCCTTCCTTTCTTCCTTCCCTCCTTCCTTCCTTCCTTTGCTTGCTTCATTTCTTTCTTTTTGACAGTAGACAGTACTGGGACTTGAACACAGGGCCTTGCTGACAGTAGTCTTTTTTAAAAAATAAGTTTTTTATTGTGAAAATACTGTACAGAGGGGTTACAATTACATGAGCAAGGTAATGAGTACATTTCTTATCAAGCATTGTTGCCTC